TTTCAATTTATCAGATTCAAATTTATATTTCTCATTATCTCTAAAAGGGGTTAATTTCTCCCGTACTAAATTAATTTCTTTATCCAAGTGGGCTAATTTTTTCTTTTTACGTATAATGAGAAACTTTAAAAGATCAATACCTGCATTATTAAAAAATTGATACCACTCAAGGTGACTACTCTGATCTTCCGAATCTGGGCGTACATCCCACCGGAGTGATCTGGGAACCATTTGTTCCTTAATATACTTATCCAAGAATGATACATCCCATAAAGTTTTAATTTCAGCAGTAGTTAAATTCTTCAAATGTACAAATAGTCCCTTTAAGTCATCATTATCCTCGTTATCTAGTGTAAAAAAATCCTCAGGGATAGCACACCTGGAGGATCTGAGGTCGAAGATATCTCCCATATTACAGAAGGATAATAAGTGTAATCAATCTAAGAGCGGCTACAAGCTGGAAATGGTGCAATGAAACTAGTATACAAGATAGCGAGCGCTCTCTAACAATGTCAGCAGCTAGAACACTATAGGCAACCACAGTGCCTCAGAAATATATCAATATGACCTTAAAACAATAAAGTGCAGCGCTTAACCAGGTGAGGAAGACAATAAGTAAGTAACCACAGTGAGTGCTTAACCAAGTAAAAAAGTCAATGTGTAGGTATCCGCAGTAAATCACTGCATGGATGCGAATTCCCACGGCCTCCACTCTGTCAAAATAGTAGAAGTGCGCATATTTATTGGTCTTATTTGTATTATGATCATTGCTTCTGCCCCGTTTGACTCCCTAATTTTTATGACGGTTGCAGGAATGATCACGACGGCCTTTTCTATGGGCTATTTTTAGGGTCTTTTTTATCTCTTTTTATTCCCTATTTGTTTTTATATACACTTATCATGATTATTTGTAATGTATATAATTATTACATTTACCCCGGTTTGATTGGGCAGTATATCACTAATTATGTTATTCACTGCCCAGATCTTATACTTTGTTTTTATCTCCATTGCTTTTATATAAGTCTTAGTATGATTTCATTCATTATATTCATTATGTTGTTCTTCATCTTGCCGTGGTCCGTTATTGCAATCTTATGCCAATCACTGAAGGGGATTTCTGTACCCCATACATCATGCGCACAAGTACCGCTACTTTAGTTTCACTGTCACTGTCTTAAGGGTAATAATATCTGACATAGAGTCCCTGGGGTCTGCGGCATAACTAGCATACGGCACTGGGATCCTGTGTTATGAGACTTCTGTGTCTCCCCCTTGCTTTCTGTACGATCGCGGATCCACGGCAAAATGGCGCTGCCGTGCTCGCGCATGCGCAGTAGATGCTTTCTCCCGGGAAAATGGCCGCGGCTAACTGCGCATGTGCCGTTTTTCCTATTTTAAACACTGACGTCGGTCACGCTCCTGTACAGCCTCCCCTCTGATGATGTGCCTGTAGCACGAAAGGCCTTAGGAGGAGCTGTGCAGAGCGTGACGTCATTCCACCGCCGGAGCCACGAGGAGGCCCGGCGGTCATCACTATCAAGGGTCAGTACTGCTGCATATCTATGTTTATATATGATTTACATGCATACTGCCCTGTTACTGCCCTGTTACCCTTTTTCAATAAAGCACTGATTTTTTGGACATACTACACTATTTCTGGCATCTGTCTCTGGGGCTCCTATTGGAGCTTTCATTCCCACAGTGAAAACACTTTTGCCATCCTGAGAGGAGATTCCTTTACTACACCTGGCTGACCTTAAGGGACCCCTGGATCTTATCAAAGAGTCTGTGATGACCCACCATGAGGGAGATGCCTGGCTGCCTAACCTCTGATGTTCCCATTGCCTGTGATGCATAATCACACATGCGCATATCCTATGCGTTTCCGGTGAGTGCGCACTTCTACTATTTTGACAGAGTGGAGGCCGTGGGAATTCGCATCCATGCAGTGATTTACTGCGGATACCTACACATTGACTTTTTTACTTGGTTAAGCACTCACTGTGGTTACTTACTTATTGTCTTCCTCACCTGGTTAAGCGCTGCACTTTATTGTTTTAAGGTCATATTGATATATTTCTGAGGCACTGTGGTTGCCTATAGTGTTCTAGCTGCTGACATTGTTAGAGAGCGCTCGCTATCTTGTATACTAGTACAATTTATTAACACTAACCATACAAACATAAACGCAGTGCAATACTAAACATAATACAGTGCAAACAAACCAAACCACCCACAGATAACAGTACATACAAGCAAGCGTCGTCAGGCAGGCCGGGTCAATATCAATTGGGCAGGTAGGTATAGGGGGAGAAAGCAGAGAATGGTCGGGGTCACAGGCCAGGTTCAGCAGTAGCAAGCAGCGTAGTACAGAGGGTCAGGCAGAGGGATGGTCAGGGTCACAAGCCAGAGATCAAAACAGGTAACAAGCAGCGTAGTACAGAGGGTCAGGCAGAGGGACAGAAACAGGATGCAGGACAGATACAGGGCCCAGGACAAACACAACACCAGGCAGAGTCTGTGGGTCTGGCCATCCCTTAAATACCCCAGCATCATCAGTTCCAGGTGTTAGCTGGCTGAAAGGTTGAGTCTCTGATTGCTGGGAGCACCGCTGGCCAGCCCTGGTACTGCAGATCAAAAGGCAGGTGAGTCCCACCATTGCTGGCCAGTCCATTCCTAACAGTAACCCCCCCCCCCAAGGAGCGGCCTCAGGACGCTCCAAACAGTCCTAGCTGGGCAAATGTTCCACCGCCCGGGTCTGGTAACTGGCGGGATAACAAAGACTGGCACACCCGGCAGGACTCCGGGCAGCGGCACACCGGGCTGGACTCCGGGCAGAGGCACACCGGGCTGGACTCCGGGCAGAGGCACATCGGAAAACAAAACAAAAAAAACCCACAAAAAAAAAAAAAAAAAAAAAACCCCCCCCCAGAGGCACACCGGGCAGAGGCACATCGGGCAGAGGCACATCGGGCAGGACTCCGGGCAGAGGCACATCGGGCAGAGGCACATCGGGCAGAGGCACACCGGGCAGAGGCACACCGGGCAGAGGCACACCGGGCAGAGGCACACCGGGCAGAGGCACATCGGGCAGGACTCCGGGCAGAGGCACATCGGGCAGGACTCCGGGCAGAGGCACATCGGGCAGAGGCACATCGGGCAGGACTCCGGGCAGAGGCACATCGGGCAGGACTCCGGGCAGAGGCACATCGGGCAGGACTCCGGGCAGAGGCACATCGGGCAGGACTCCGGGCAGAGGCACATCGGGCAGGACTCCGGGCAGAGGCACATCGGGCAGGACTCCGGGCAGAGGCACATCGGCAGGACTCCGGGCAGAGGCACATCGGGCAGGACTCCGGGCAGAGGCACATCGGATTACCAGGCGAAGCAGCAGGCAGCGGGCCACCAGGCGGAGCAGCAGGCACCGGGCCCCCGGGTGGGGCGACATGCATCGTGCCCCCAGGCGGAGCGGCGGGCGCCGGACCCCCAGGCGGAGCGACAGGTCTCGGGCCCTCAGGCGGAGCGGCGGGCGCCGGACCCCCAGGCGGAGCGACAGGTCTCGGGCCCTCAGGCGGAGCGGCGGGCGCCGGACCCCCAGGCGGAGCGACAGGTCTCGGGCCCTCAGGCGGAGCGGGCGGGCGCCGGACCCCCAGGCGGAGCGACAGGTCTCGGGCCCTCAGGCGGAGCGGCGGGCACCGGACCCCCAGGCGGAGCGACAGGTCTCGGGCCCTCAGGCGGAGCGGCAGGCGCCGGACCCCCAGATGGAGCGACAGGTCTCGGGCCCTCAGGCGGAGCGGCGGGCGCCGGACCCCCAGGCGGAGCGACAGGGGGGGGGGGGGGGGGGGGGGGGGGGGGGGGGGGGGGGGGGGGGGGGGGGGGACAGACAGGTCTCGGGCCCTCAGGCGGAGCGGCGGGCGCCGGACCCCCAGGCGGAGCGACAGGTCTCGGGCCCTCAGGCGGAGCGGCGGGCGCCGGACCCCCAGGCGGAGCGACAGGTCTCGGGCCCTCAGGCGGAGTGGCGGGCGCCGGACCCCCAGGAGGAGCGACAGGTCTCGGGCCCTCAAGCGGAGCAGCGGGCGCCGGACCCCCAGGCGGAGCGACAGGTCTCGGACCCTCAGGCGGAGCGGCGGGCGCCGGACCCCCAGATGGAGCGACAGGTCTCGGACCCTCAGGCGGAGTGGTGGGCGCCGGACCCCCAGGCGGAACGACAGGTCTCAGGCCCCCAGGCGGGGCGGCGGGCACCGAGTCACCAGGCACAACCGTGGGCTCCGAGTCAACTGGGATGACCGCTGGCACTGGGTCAGACATTGGATCGTCTGGCTAGACAGCGGGCATCGGGTCACCAGGCATCAGGTCATTTGGCTCGACAGCAAGCACCGCGTCATCTGGCAAGGCAGTGGGCTCCGAGTCAACTGGTATGACCGCGGGCACTGGGTCAGACATTGGATCGTCTGGCTGGATAGCGGGCACTGGGTCACCAGGCATCAGGTCATTTGGCTCGACAGCGGGCACCGCGTCATCTGGCAAGGCAGTGGGCTCCGAGTCAACAGGCACGACAGTGAGCACCGGGTCATCAGGTACCGGATTGTCTGGCTCGACAGCGGGCATCGGGTCACCAGGTATGACAGCGGGCACTGGGTCACCAGGCATCAGGTCATTTGGCTCGACAGCGGGCACCGGATCAGGTACCGGATCATCTGGATCAACAGCGGGCATCGAGTCAACTGGCCTAATAGGATCGTCAGGCTGGATCAGTTCATCATGCTGGGTAGAGGCATCAGGCTGAATGCCGGCGTCCGGCCGAGTAGAGGCTTCAGGCCGAGTAGAGGCATCAGGCCGAGTAGAGGCATCAGGCCGAGTAGAGGCTTCAGGCCGAGTAGAGGCTTCAGGCCGAGTAGAGGCATCAGGCCGAGTAGAGGCTTCAGGCCGAGTAGAGGCATCAGGCCGAGTAGAGGCTTCAGGCCGAGTAGAGGCTTCAGGCCGAGTAGAGGCTTCAGGCCGAGTAGAGGCATCAGGCCGAGTAGAGGCTTCAGGCCGAGTAGAGGCATCAGGCTGAAGAGAGGCATCAGGCTGCATACAGGCATCAGGCTGAAGAGAGGCATCAGGCTGAGTAGAGGCTTCAGGCTGAGTAGAGGCTTCAGGCTGAGTAGAGGCATCAGGCTGAGTAGAGGCATCAGGCTGAGTAGAGGCATCAGGCTGAGTAGAGGCATCAGGCTGAGTAGAAGCATCAGGCTGAGTAGAGGCTTCAGGCTGAGTAGAGGCTTCAGGCTGAGTAGAGGCTTCAGGCTGAGTAGAGGCTTCAGGCTGAACCACGGAAGGCAGGCTCACCGGTTTGGATACTGGCAGGATGGTATTGGTTGGAAAGAATGTTCGCTTTTTTCTGGTTTTAACTACTGGAGCACTGCAAGTAAACGCAGGTCTGCAAACGAATGGAGCAGCTGGAGACAGAGAAGAACTGGAGGATGGAACAGGAGAGGGAGCGGTTGCTACAGAGGGCTCTTTTACAGGGTTAAAGGCAGGATAGGTGCAGCGAGTGGGAACAGGGTACTGACATGCGGTAGATAGCAGGGCAGGAGGAGCTGTTGGGAATGCAGGAATAGAGTTTTGAGGAAATAGATTAGAAGCAGGACTGGGTCTTTGTAAGCTGACTGAGGCTGGGTGCAACAAATCTGTCCATGTCTGCAGTATGGGTTGAACAAATCTGAGCTTACACAAAGCCTGTCTGGTCAATGACTGCACTGCGTTTATACAAACTCTTAGTGTCTGTGGTGAACATGTGGAATAACGCTCCAGAAAGTAAACCCACATCATCCTCTAATAACCACACCAGGGACTCTACCTGGTCTGCACTAAATGGTGGCAAAAATTCATCCCTGCATTCGGGGGAACCAGATGATGAAACCAACTCTGCACAAACCTCAATCAAAGGCTGCACCTCAGAGAACTCTGTGCCCTGATCTACTAGAACATGAGCGAGCCGTATACATTCTAGCAGTTCATCCCGGGTATACTCCTTCAGAGTTTGATAAGCATACTCCCTGTCATCAAACACTAGCAGATATAAATATTCAACCTCATCAAGATCCATCCTTCCCATCAACAAGCCAAGATGGCTTCCCTGTGCAGCCACTTCTGGTCAGGATTGGCCTTGTGTTAATGTCAGGGCTCCCAGGTATGACCAGAGGTGTGTGACTGATGCAGGGAAACGCAGACTTCAGATATGTGATAAACAGGACAATTTATTAACACTAACAATACAAACATAAACGCAGTGCAATACTAAACATAATACAGTGCAAACAAACCAAACCAAACCACCCACAGATAACAGTACATACAAGCAAGCGTCGTCAGGCAGGCCGGGTCAATATCAATTGGGCAGGTAGGTACAGGGGGAGAAAGCAGAGAATGGTCGGGGTCACAGGCCAGGTTCAGCAGGTAGCAAGCAGCGTAGTACAGAGGGTCAGGCAGAGGGATGGTCAGGGTCACAAGCCAGAGATCAAAACAGGTAACAAGCAGCGTAGTACAGAGGGTCAGGCAGAGGGACAGAAACAGGATGCAGGGCAGATACAGGGCCCAGGACAAACACAACACCAAGGCAGAGTCTGTGGGTCTGGCCATCCCTTAAATACCCCAGCATCATCAGTTCCAGGTGTTAGCTGGCTGAAAGGTTGAGTCTCTGATTGCTGGGAGCACCCGCTGGCCAGCCCTGGTACTGCAGATCAAAAGGCAGGTGAGTCCCACCATTGCTGGCCAGTCCATTCCTAACACAGCGCCTGTGTGTTGTTATGGAAAACAACAAGGCCTAACAAAGGCAAAACCTTGTGTACTCACAGACCAGAGCAGACCGAAGACTGGAGAATCCATGTGGTGAATCCAAAAAGGACATCAGCAACACCAGTCTTTTGCTCCAGAAGGATCACTTGTGTGAGCAACGTCATGCAGATGGCACCACTTCAGGAATGAAAGGCATGAAGATTTAAAATTAAGCCTGAGAGCTGTGAGGTAATTCCTGCTGTTCCTGCATCACAAATCAGCTCTCCTTGAAAAAGCCAAATGAACAGGGAAATACTCAATGGGGCAGCCAATGTTCCAAGCTTAGATATACTACAGTACTATATAAGCTTTCCAAAATAGCATCCTGGGAAAAGGGCTTTACAATGAAAGGTGTAAACCACAACAGACTGCTAGTATTAGAGTTCATGTTTAGAAATGTGGCACAGAGAAATTGTAGCATGTAGTATGGAAATAGCACTCTGCCATTATGGCACAATGCAAGGTCTGGGAGATGCCATGGTTTAACTGAAAGACCATGCAAGTGATTACCAGGACCTCAGTATACTGAGGTAATATCACTACTAATAATGGCTATGGGACTCAGCCAAGTCTGAATGCAGTACATAAATGTAACATACTAAGAAGCCTTAGTTATATCCTGAGGCATATTAAACGGGAAAAAATCTGAAAGTGGCTATACAGAAGGAATACCTCTGCCCCTAATATTGAGAATGCTCATATTGCTAATGAGCCCAGTAGAGCAAAAGTGTTTGAAGATAACTTAGTAAGATACCTTCATTATTTCCTGAGATATATTTTTTGCAGGAAAATGCCATAGACTGGGTATACTGAAGTAATACATCTGTTCCTTTTAAGGAGAACACATATTGCTAAAGGACTAAGCAAAATGAAGATTGCAGTAATTGAAGGTAGCATACTATGATGCCTTTATTTCCTGAAGTAATTTTTTTACAGAAAAAAATAGCAGACTAGCTATACCGAAGTAACACCCTTGCTCCTAACAAAAGGAGTGCTGATATTGCTAAAGAACTGAACATGACGTGATATTCAGATTTAGAAGGTAACATACTAAGATGCCTTCGATATTTTCTGAGATAATTTCTTACAGGAAAATTATTAGAGATTGGGTACACTGAAGTAGTACATCTGCTCTTCATAATAATAAGAATACTCAAATTGCTAGGGATTCAGCATAATGTGGAGCACAATGGTCAAACATAAAATAACATGAGGTCTTTGTGATTTCCTAAGGAAAACAGTTCAGGAAAATATCAGAAACTGGGATCTACCAAAAAAGTACCACTGTGCAAATATGTCTAACTCTCATAAGTCTCTTGAGTCACTACTCATAAGTCTGGAAAGCGTCTATGCAGAGCTAATAATAGTACAGATGTCATTCACCAAGGCATCTGCGTCACAGGAAAGCTAGGGACTGCGTGCCACAGTTAGTACCACTGCTCTAACTGCAGTTCTACTTTAATGTTAGTATGATTTTTTTCAGTGAAACATTTATAATCTTATGCAATCAAATACAGCTTTCATTTTTTGTAAAGCAACGCTTTATGGCCAGCATGATAGTCAATAGTGAGGCATATCTGATCACCACTATGTATGTGGTAGCAAGCAAGAGTAGCAAGAAACAGAAGCAACAGTCAGCAGGAAGCAAACAAGAGTATTCTTTCCTTCTTACAACTCCCCTGTCTATAAACAGCATCCGGAACATTTGTTTGTCTATCCCTGAACTAAAAAACACTACCCCAGCACCTTAATAACTGATACTTCTTTCTGTACACATTGGTTAAGGCTTGGTAATGCAAGTCATGAGGTTGGCCCCAAACTCTTCCACCCAAACCCCACACTTTGTGTCCCAACAGTTGTGCAGTCCTGGAGACTCTGTACTACAGCAACAATGCCTAAAAGTGTGGTCTCTAAACTGTTGTCATCTGCTTGCCCTTATCTGGCCCTGTGATGAGGCTTTATTCCTCCCACTGGACACCAGCAGTGGGGCATAATTCTTACCAATGATGCCAATGATGGGCACTTTCCCCCTGATTGATACTACCTGATGCCAATGTTAAGGCACTATTCCCCTACTAATACCAATGATGGGGCAGTATTCCTTCAACTAACACCAATGATGGAGCACTATTTCATCAACTAATACCAATGACGAGGCACTATTCATCTTATTGACCTCAGGTATTATGTATTTTTTTTTTTTTTACTGCCACTGATCACCAAGCTTGAGGCATTTTTTTTTTCGTTCCACTGATGCCTGGACTCCCACTGGCAACAATCCCGACTCCTTGAAAGTCTAAAGGACAGTAAACTGTCCCTTTGTTTAGGCGGTTTGGACCCTAACTTCCAACCCTGGGTTCTTGAAGTGGCGTGAACTACCCAAAAAGGTCTGGGGGTGAAAAATAAAGCACATAAACTACCTAGATTGAGCAGCACCGGTTTATAATCCTCAATTATTGTGAAGGGACACTGTGGTTCACAAGTAAACTGTGCTACGCAGTGTTGTTTGAATCCCCACTAATCCCAATTTTTGCTCTCTAGGGGATTTTTCCCTTCTGTCAATTTGATGCGGATTTACAAACCTTTATATTTCATTTTATTGCAGAAAAGTGAAGCATTTTATAAAAATCCATTCTTAGCATGTGGATAGAAAATCCTTTATGAACTGTGTTATTTTAAATCCCACATGAAAAATGACCATGTTATTGAAATCTCCAAGTAGCTTTAAAGTCCAC